TTCACGAAAAATATTCAAGCACTCACGTCCCCCCTTCGAACGATCGTTCTTATCAAACTTTTTATAAAAATGAAAAAACAAAAACACAGCGAATATATACATAGACCAGCGAACTCGAACAACATTGTCGTGGCGTTCAATTCAATTCAAGCGTATCTCAAATCGTATTGGGGAAGTCAATATTATAACAAAGCGCACACGCTTCTCGAGAAACATAAGACTTTGCTCAGTCCGTCATGGGACGATTTTTAATAGTCGATTTATTGAATCGAAATGAGAAACCCGTGCATTTCTCGCGCAAGCAGAGAGACAGAAAAAAATCTGTACGCGCGAGAGATCACGTGCGCGTGAATCAAAGAATGCCTGAGAATCGAAGATCGTCCTCCCAATAAAATTAGTCTTGCGTATCGTTGTTTTATTGTTATATATCGTCGTGACGACGCGATACCGCCGTCCCATTGCATTTTCGATCGATAACGCTCGCGAGAGAACGGGGTTGGAGCTTCATTTTTTGTCGCGGGAACGATCGATCGTCGACGATCGAATGGAAGATGTGGGCTGTTCGCTGTTTGCCGAACGTCTCTTATAGTGTTCTACCTAGATCTCGCGGTATAGGTTGTAGCGACGGGTACTTTTTTCGTTGAGTTTATTACTTTCTCTCGTTTTAATCCTGGAATCCCGAGAACGCTAGAATAATTATCTTTAACGGAATAAGGAATAGAATCTTGAAGAAGTTATTTTTAGTTTTTTTAATTAACCTTCCAGTCATTATGATGTTAGATAATTTCGACAAGCTACGCTATTACAGTCGCATTTTTAGAATATCTCAATAATAGCTAGAAACGTTTTCTTTCTCTTCGTCTAATTTAATCCAATTCGTCTAATTTCTCTTCCCTATACAAAAGAATAAAATTACTTTAGACTTAGAGGGTTAAGTTCTCTTCGATTCGTGCGCTAAATCGAACGAAGAATCATCCTTTCCAAGTTCCTCTTCGAGGCGTCGCGATTTGATTCCAAGATTGAAACGACTTGGATTCTTAACTGTATAATTCCTTAATCGAACAGCAGATCTCTCAAGAGTATGTTTATGTCAAGTGCAACACGACTAACGTAGGTTTGTAGCCACGTGCTGATCAATCGATCAATCTGGAATAAACGACTACTTTAATCCTCCGCTCGATCTTTCTTGATCTCATTCCAGAGACTCGAGATTAAGCTTACTTTTTATCTCGTTTCAGATTCTGCGCCTACGCGAACCTACGCAGATACTGTCTGCCAGTCGAATTTGCAAAATACTAATGATTTTCTTCCTCTTGGGTCGTATCCTCTTATTTTCCTTTCATCCTCTTATTTCCCTTTCTTTTTTGTAATTTACACCTCGCACATCTCTATAGAGATACAATACATCTCTATTTTGTACATACATGCACATCGCTCATTTAACAAAATATTTGAGAGTCAAAAAGACGGGAAAAATATGATAAGTCCGTTTTTCTGATGACTTGCAGTTAGAAAGAAGAATTTTAATATGAAATAGATTCGAAGATATAAGGCTTTCAAAAATATGCGACAAGTCCACGATGTTTTGTAAGAAACGAATAATACGTTTTACATAGATACATGTTTCAGTTGATCACACATCGCAATATGACTATATGTGTTATATTTCAAAAAACTTTCTAAAAACTCGATTTATCGTATTTTTTATCAACAGTCTTTATACAATACATTAATACACGATGCTGTTCTTACCCTTACACCATGATCGTGGCTGCGACATAAACATACCCTCTCTGAAATATTCCTCAACAGTAAAACGTCGAGGAACACGTGCGTTTCTTGTTACGCCAGCTATCACTAATCGCTTTGATTGCTTTTTGGGCCGCACGAGCCAGCACTAAAAAAAATATCGAAATCACATAAATATATATACATATATATATATATATATATAAAATAAAATAAATGATAGTAAAAGAAAAGTCCGAAAAATACGAAGCACAAAGAAAACACATAGAAAATTCTTGTTCTTTTCCTCCCCTTTCGAACTTAACCGGACGAAAGTCAGGGGAAGGAAAAATCGTAAGAAACACGCTCACCTTTATTTATTTATTTATTTATTTATTTATTTATACAAATGTCTTATTCTATTGAGTTCTGTATTCATTGTGGTTCTCGCCGTACGTTGAACCGAAAATGCCGATAATCTGTACGAGAGCTGTATTTAGTATAAAAGTAACATCGCGTGGACACTGTACTTTCGTCGCGGTCACCGATCCTCGAGCGCGATAATTAATCAATAAATAATAATTTACAAAGTGAATTTCAAACCTGAGGATAAAGAAAATACATAGAAATATAGAGAATTGAAATTAAAAGAAAAATATATATTTATATATAGAATGCAGAAATCAAAATTCGAAGGAAAATATAAATTTTACTCGACGAGAGAGAGGTATCATTCGAATCATTTTAATCATCGCGCTGCGTCTGTGATCGCGATTCATCAGACTCGTTTTTTTGCGCATTTTCTGCCGTACGGCATCCTCGTTAATCGCATAAGAGCAACATGTACGATAATAAAACTCGATAATAAATATGTTTCCTAGTACCAATTAGTATCCTTTTGTATTTGCTTTGCCCGTTACTACTGCTAATGACTGATGGTAGAGTCCTTCAACCCTTTATCTATCATTTCTCCACAGATCGATTGATTAAAACACGAAAATCGTGAACGTCCAACAAATAAAATGAAGCTGTACGTAGTTTCATATTGTATAATAGTTTCTCACTTTTGTTTCGCCGTTTGTTTCTATTCAGAAGTTTGCCAGAAACGTTATGATAAACTAAAAGCTTGCACTCGACGAACAAACACACTTCACGATACTTCAGCAACACGGTCATCAGATTTTCACCGAGGATTCTCGACGTCCATATTTCTTAAAAAATAAATGCCAGAGGAGAAATGCATCGCCTAAGTGTTTTTTTTATTAACAGTAGAACTACCAAATCGGTCAAATTTGTAATTTTTCATAGCAATTTTCATAGATTTACAGTGGTGAATTTTTGTAAATTTGATTATTTATTTTTTTTTTGTACGGGAAATTATTTTCTTTATACTTAAATTTATTTGATATTAACGTTATACTATCAATTGGTAGTTCTAGTGTTAGAATTGAGATTGAAAAGTTGATGCTATAAATTTTACGTACATGTAAATCGTAAATCGATCCACAATTTATCAATAAGCATTTTCTTTCAATAACTCCGATATTCATCGGTGAACTATGATCACGACTTGCGTATAAGGGGTAAGTTTTCTTGGACATCTAGAAATCTCCAGAAATTACCAAAATACGACGAGAATAGCCATTCCAGATCTTGAATAAAATGACATCTATAAAAATCTGAGAGTTGGTTTCTTTGACTAATTGTTTGAATTAATCACGTTTGATCATAATGATTGGCAAGAGTTCGATAATTCGAGCAACGAATTAATGTGATAACTTAGGTAATCTGCTAGACGAGACGGAAGTGCTCGATTGGATGGTGAAGCAGAAGACAGACGAAAGTATCGAAGAAATCGATCGTGACACCCTGACCAAATATATCGAGACGAAAGAATTCCTGGCTGTTATTTTCTGTAAGATATAGCCCATTTTTTTCTCTGCAAATGTTTGCAAAATTGTTGATTGCCCGCGATAAGTTACATAATTCGCCGGGTAACTTGTTCGTTTCGAATTTAACAATTATGAGAGTCGATCTAATATGATAAAAAGATCCGTGAGAAATTTTCTTTATACACTCAACGAGATTTTCCAAAAAACTTAGATTTGACGTGTTTTTAAATAAAATTCATCCCTTAAGTGATCGAGTAATATAATTGTAACGAGTAATATATCCGACTCTCATAAATAAACTATCGATGTTAATGCATTTATGGAAAGTTAAAATACACGAAAATATGTAAAATGCATATAACGTGCAATGTAATATTTAGGTTTCTACGAATTTTTATACATTCGAGGAAAATTTATAAAAACTACATGGTAGCTGCACATGCAACTATAATATGAAATAATATATGAAAATATAATACTATCCAACGTACCATACTACAAAATATATAAAATATTGAAAATATATTTCCTTCTTGGATTTCAATTTTTTTTTTTTTCTTTTTTGCTGTGTTCGCAAAAATATAAATTTGCATGAACGTCTTTAGTTTACTTATGAGTCTCTTCTAACGAGAAATCTTAAGGGGTTGATATTACTTTCGCTTCGAAACGAAACGAAAAAAGAAAAGACTCTCGGTCCCGTAGACAAGGAGGAGGATCCAGAGAGTCCTAGAGTACTTAGGCACGTCGAGTTGATCGACGATGAAGCTGCTGAGTACGGTATAAAGATCGTGAGGATGAAGGATAGATTGATGGCGAAGAAATATGGCTACCGGAACCCGCCCGGTATCACGTACTTCCGCAAGGGCAAGAATATTAATTACGATGGGGATATCGACGACGAGGAGGAAATTCTCGATTGGCTGACCAATCCGGAGAACATGGAGCTAACCGATCACATCGAGAGAATCAATAAGAAGATGTTTCAGAAGATACGACAGACCACTGATTACTTGGCGGTGTTCTTCTGTGAGTATTGAATTTAAAGGAGAAATCATATGTGAGAATAAAAATTTATAAATTAGATCGAATATAAAGTGAAAATATAACTATAAGAGTCGATTAAAGATTAAGAGCATTTTAATTAGTGGTTGGCTTGATGACTTGAACTCGTTTGGAAAGTTTTCATTTTCTGTTTTAACTTTTTTATTTCAACTCTCATGTGGCCGATCGAATTACTTTTATAAGTATGCCTTTTAATATCGACAAATTTTGAAATGGAAATTCAAGATTCTGGTTTTCTGACTTTCGTAAAATAGAAGATTGTCAAAGGATTGCCAACATTGAACGGATTAACGCAGTATATAGAAATCAAATGAAATAGATACAATTGTTATTTTTTGAAAAAAAAAAAAAAAAAGAAAAAAAAAAAACGAGACTTTCGAGCATGTCGAACGCGGTGGCGCGCGTATGTTTAGACAGCAACGACTGCAAACAGTGTGGCAGAGTATTGGCGGAAATCGAACATATCGATGACGAGGCGGACAGCGTCGGGATAAAGTTCGTAAAGATTGACGACAAACAACTGGCCAAACACTATGGTGTCTTTGCATTACCCGCCATATTGTTCTTTAAAATGTCCTCGAAGGAACCAGTCATCTATGCAGGTACAATATGAACTCAAATATGACAGAATTAATATTAAAATTAATCAAATTTTATTTTAAACCAAAGGCGATTTGTACGACGAAGATCAGATCTTGCAATGGCTGTTAACGCAAAAAGATCCATCCGGAGAGGTAATCGAAGACTTGGAGGGTGAAGATCTGCTAAATTTGATAAGGGAGTCGGAATCGTTAGCAGTATACTTCTGTAAGTCTGACAGTCCTTCAGCCACGGCCAATTGCCAAGCAGGAATGTATCTCTAGCCTGTTGCGTGGTTCTTCTATATTCCTAATACATTTATACTATTATTTCCTTTTCCATTCTCTATTCCGCTCTTTATATTCACAAGAATATAGTTAGAATATAGTAAATTCAAGCATTCACATTTTACTTCATCGACATAGTCGAAAGAATCATTTCAGTGGTTTCATTTCGATCATTAACACTAGAACTACTAGAAAGTTATTAAAAATATAGTTTTGATTTTCATGGAGAAAAAAAGTACTAGTAGTTTTATTTAATTCTGGGACTACGTGTATTTTTCCACTCTCTCCGTAATTTAAGAAATTTACCTGTTGAAATATTTTAACAAATATTTCTCCGAGTAAGTCTAACTTCTAAGGTTAAAAAGAATATTTTGATAGTGTAAAATAGTTGAAAATTGGATGCTTATATTCATTACTTTTTGATTTATTAAATCACTCTCTATGTGTAAGCGTAGTATTGAAACTATAATCAGAAGATAACATTTTAGAGCGGATTTCCTGTTCATTTCCGTTCTCTTCTTCTCTTCACACTGTTCTATCAGTAGTCTGTCTTTTCTCTTCGGCGAAGAGAATTCCATCTTGCCGCAGCTATACTCGTCTGCGTATATTAATTCTTGCCCTACATGAAATTCTTGCATTGGATTTCAATTCTCGTCAAACGTGTACATACATTACCGCGGGAATTTTTGTTATATTGTATTTGTCTACGTAATTTGCGCTTAATTGTGTCGCAACAATTAACCAATTTCTTTTTTCTTTTCAATTCTAAGTTGTCCGTTGTCCTTTTTTCTTTTAATCTTTCGTTCTCTGTATATATCTCTTCACTTCAGATCATTGCTACTTGGCTTGTCTTCTCTCTCTCTCTCTCTCTTTCACTTTCACTTTCACTTTTATCTGTCTTTTTGTCCGTCCATACGCTGTACACGTTGTCTGCTAATGCCGCAGGGAACAGAACGCTTTGTGACTTGTGTCAGGCAAAATATCAGCGGAAGCAGACCCGCCACAGGGAGCGCAAGATCGTCGAACACGAAGCAGCCGAGGAACTCGATGGTACACATGAACACAGAAAAAGAGAACAATTGAGTTGTCGACCTGATCTTTTCTCTCTTTTTTGTTTTCTTTCTTTACTGTTCTACCGATTTAGACTATGTTCCAGATAGCTCATCTTCCGTGTGCACTACCCAGAACATCACTCACATCATATATAATATATCTATAAATATATTTTCATTGATATTTTTACAAAATACACTTTTGTCGGTGAAGCACAACGTATATGCGTATTTTTATCCGATCTCTTTTTTGCAAATGCGAACTACGAAACAGATATTCTTTTTTTTTCAGATGGTCGCTGCGGTATTTTTGTTCACAGCAAAATTCAAATTCGCTCAATCTGTTTAATCGCTATATGTATAATTTAGCCAATGCCATTCATTTTTTTTTTTTTTTTTTTTTTTTTTTTGGAAGTACGCATTCACGCGCAATTTTTCCAGGCCGACTTTTTCCCGTGCATTTCACTACACGTTCACACTGTTGCACACAGGTGTACCTGCACGATTAGAAAGCATGAGAAAATCATAGAACCAGATGAGACGAGAAACCGCCATAGTTACCCTAGAAGTGACCAGCATGCTAACCATTTTATTTGTCCGTATTTTAATAGATTTTGTTATATGTTCGAATCTGTTGTCCGTCATTGGTATTTTTTCGATAGAGCTAGTCTGCCCTTCATAGATAAGGCCAGAAGAATGCTTACTTAGATCACTGTTCAACCGATCGATCTCTCACCTTGTCATCAGTAGATCGCTGTCTTTCGAGTAGATATCACTTCGATGCGTTCGTGAATTTTATAACAATATGGTCTCTCCTTAGATGCCGAAGACTGCGAACAGTGCGTGGGCATCCTCGAGGAACTGGAGAACATCGACGATGATTGCGATAGGCATGGTATCACGTTCGTAAAGACACAAGTGAGTAGAAAAATTGCTGAACGATTTATTGGTGAATATTTAAAGTATTTTCGAATCTTCACTCGAAAAATTTTCATCGTTTCTTCATAGGATTATAAAGTGGCAGAAGATTATGGCGTCACGGATTTCCCGGTGTTAGTCTATTTCGAAAAGCAATTGCCAAATGTGTTCGAAGGTTACCCTTTTACTAAATTAATTACATATTGCAAATTATGTATCAGAGAAGATTAAATTACTTGAATCTCGTTTGTAAAGGTGATTTAAAAGTGGAAGAGGAAGTTCTGCAATGGTTGATTACTCAGAAAACGGAGGATCGAATAGAACTGATTACCAGAGTGATGTTAGAGACATCTGTCGAAGAGACTCAATATCTTGCAGTTTATTTCTGTGAGTCTTAATATATTCCGTAGTCGAAAATTGGATAGAAAATAAACAAAATCATAATGTTGTGTTGTAGATAAACTAAACTGCCATATATGCGACGAAATTTTGGAAGGATTGGAGAAGATCGACGACGAATGCGACGTGTTCGGTATTCATTTGGTGAAAATTCAGGATCCCCAACTAGCCAAACGATATTCTATCAAAACCTTCCCAGCCTTAGTTTACTTCAGAAATGGCAATCCTCTTTTGTTCGAAGGTTTCTAAACTTTTCACTTCCACTTCTACCAATTAAAACCACTTCACTTACTACAATTGAAATCGTTTTCGTTCTACGATCAATTTTATCAGGTGACTTACAAAACGAAGAATCAGTTCTCGAGTGGCTAATCGACGACGATAATCGAGAACTAGCGGACGAAATTGAATCTGTGAATGAGAGGATGCTGGAGAGACTTCTCGACGAATCTCCGTTCTTAGCTGTTTTCTTTTGTATGTTATACTTTATTTCCGTGCATTTATGAGAAACTCAAACATGCAAAAACGCATGAAATAAGCAGAAATATGTTAAATATCAAAAGTACAATACTCGTTAGATCAGACAAATCTCTATCTAGTTTCTGTTTCCTTTTTCTTTTTAATCTGATAATTCTCAACGATTCTTCTTAATGATAATTCTTAACAATTTCACTTAAATCGATTAATTTAATCAGACGACGAAGACTGCCCCGAGTGTGACGAAATTATGGAAGCTTTGGAGAAAATCGACGGCGAAGCAGATCTATTCGGTATCGACTTCGTGAAGGTACTCAGCACAGAGGCTGCAGAGAAATTTGCAATTCTGAACGTTCCGTCGCTCGTTTATTTCCGCAAAAAGACACCGTTGATCTATGACGGCGATCTGACTCAAGAAGACAAGATTCTCCAATGGCTAACGTCTCAAGACGTCTTCGAAATTAAAAATGAAATCGAAGAAGTTAACAAAAAGATGCTAGACAAATTGTTGGACGAGAACGAGTTCCTTGCTGTATTTTTCTGTAAGAGCAAGAGAACGTCGTCACTAAATTATAATTGTAACAATTATAAAAACAATTATACCAATTATTCTAGATGAACACGACAATAAAGAATGTGAAGAGGTAAGCGAAAAGTTGGAAAACATTGACGGAGAAACGGATAATTTGGACATTACGTTCGTCAAGATGGCTGATCCAAGATACGCGAGGAAGTGGGGTGTCACCAAGCTTCCTGCCATCGTTTATTTTCGCAAGAGATTTCCCAGTATCTATCGAGGTAAAAGAAACTCTCTTATCTAAAAAAAACTGTATGATATCTAATGAATCATCTTGTAAGCGACGTGTTTTTTTTTTTTTTAATTAAATTTAACGCAATGAAAACTATTATTACCATAGAAATTTTATAAAATTAGAACAGAAAATTTATAAAACTTCTATATCTATAAAACTTTTATTAAAATTAAACAGAAAAGAAATAAAGAATTAAGAAAATTTAAGAAGAAAATTTTCAAAGCAAACGACCATATTAGTGATATAAGGTGATATTTCGTATTTTTAATTTCCAATCATAGCATCTATAAACGACTTTTCCCCGTACCAGGTAATCTACACAACGAACAAGACGTGTTGGAATGGCTGCGCAAGAACAGGTACCGTCAACCAGAGCTGAACATCTACATGTACATGCTGATTGCCATTACCGTCTTGTTCGCCATGTATACCGGCTTCCTGTTATCCTGTTTCCGCTCGGAACCAGCGACTCCCGCGTCGCATCCGAAGCAAGCGTGATAGAAAGAAAGAAGGAAAAGAGAGAAAGAGAGTAAGAGAGAAAGGGAGAGAAAGAAAGAAAGGAACGAAAGAGTAGAGACTTATTGATCGTTGTTGCGCGAATGTGCGTTTTATTGTTGTTGATCCGACTCGCTTTAACGTAAGATTGAATGACGGCCGTTCGTCCGGAACGAACGACTTGCACCAAGGCTCGACGATTCTACGGAGGACGACGAAACCTGTCTATATGTATTTTTCTCTTCGCTTAGACGATGAACGAACGATTAAAAAAAAAAAAAAAAAAAAAAAAAAAAAGAAATAAATTAATAAATCAAATAATCTACTTCTATACATTGCACCGTAATAGGTTCAAGTTGTCCGTGAATTCCGTGAGCGCGTGGTATGCTTGCTTAACGTGGACCAAATTCATCGATTTTCTATAGGAGATTATTAGACCTCTGTCAAATTGAAGAAGGCGCGAACGTGTTGCGAGCGTACACGTAGGCGACGTTTCGCGGGAGTTTACTCGACTTATAATATTCCAAACGATATTACCAATTATGTTAGCGTATAAGCTATATACATTATACGTAAGTATATCGTACACGTTTGCCATGTCTCTCTGTTCGCGTTCAAATCACCGTGCGGCGACAACGTTGTTTGATATTCTTTTATTGTATTGCTTTGTAACGAGATAGAGATATTACATTGTATCGTATTCCATATTTCACTTTGTATTAACTTTTGCTGACTCGATGATTTTTTGCTGCGTTTTTAGAGTGAATAAAACTGATCGACACATCTGTACACTGTTATTTTGCTGGTGTTCATGGAATGTTGCTAGCCGCAATCGACGAGCAATCTGTGGTTTCTTCTTCTTCTTTCTTTTTTGTTTTTTTTTTTTTTTTTTTTTTTGTTCTTTTTTCGTACGTGTTCTTGTAACGTTAATTGTTACCGATTAGGTATTGACAGTGGTCTTGTTCTTTATCTCAAGTGATCACCTTTGGTCCACGTGTAATTCATTGTTCGCGAAGATGATCATTGATAATCCATGCGTCTTCTCGATGATGGATCATCGAAGATATCTTCCAAATGGAAAGAAATATGTACACGAGACAGGTGAATATTGCCTATCGCTTACATTGTCAAAAGAAGGCAAATAATGTTAACACATGATCATGAGGAATAAAGAGCGAATCCTTGGACCAATTCCAAAGTGCTTAAAATGCCACTTCTGTCTGCCAATTGTAAATAATATAATAGTGTGAACGATGCATTATACAAAAAAAGAATGCGACGTCTCTTTTCCTTTTATTTTATGTTTCATTTTCTTCTTTTTGCGCTTTCGTTTCTTTTTTTTCTTTTCCATAGAAATCTGAATCTTCTGTGGATCTTAATCTTCAGCTTAACTGAAGGAATTCCAGAATATTTCCAGAAATTAATTTCTTTCCATATATCTTTTATTTAAAGATTTCTGTAATTAATACAGATTTTCGAGAAAAATTGAATTTTTTAAGTATAATAAAGATCGTATTAACGTCCTATTATTGCTTGTCCGTCTTAATTATTCAAACAAAATTAATATTTATATGTTATGAAAAGCAACGCGCTATTGTGTGTAGAATTATAGTTTCAAATTTCCCGCTATTATGTAGCTGGGAAGAAATGTGACCAACTTCAAACTCAATATTTCTACAGCTCTGAAGTGATCTACGATTGAAAATTTCTTTATGAAACGCAAGAATGGCGGATGCGTGAGTATCGTTCGAGGTCGATGAAATCTAAAAGCATCGATAATTAATATCATTCTATTATTTTTAAAATGTGTTATTAATCATTCTTTTAAAGTTCCTTTCTATATTCATATTGTAGTTTTTGATTTTTTTTCATAAAAATGAAGAATTATCAATGCTGACAAGTTGCATCATTGATCAATATGAAACATCATATTTCAGTATACATATTAATAATTATATTAATTTTTTAATAAAACTTAATTTTTTGTTTTGTGTTAAATTAAATTTCTGTATGTATTATTTAAAATAATATATTTCTTGGCAACATAACCTATGCATACAATCTAACCTAATTCTATTCTATATACCATGCGACTTGTCTAATTTTATTTGAGGAAAATATGTAATTTTTAACTTTAATAAATAATTTTGTATGTAGAAAGAAAGAAGCTGAACCTGCAGCAACTAAAAAGCTGCCTGCAGTGCCGGAGTCAGTCCTTAAAAGAAGGAAAACTCGCGAAGCTGTACGGGCTGCACGTCTTCAAATATCGATCAAGGTATTTTTTTGATATTTTGTTTTATATATTTTCTTTTTTTTTTTATCAAATTGATGCTTTAAATTAGAGAAGATGATTAAAATAAGTTTTTTAATTTTAGCAACGTGCGAATCGATACCAGAAAAGGAAAACAATCTTCAAAAGGGCTGAAAAGTATGTGAGAGAATACAGAACAAAAGAAAGAGATGAAATCAGATTGATGAGACAAGCCAAAAATCGTGGCAATTATTACATCCCTGGAGAAGCACGTCTTGCGTTTGTTATCCGTATTCGAGGGTAAGTTTCTAGTTTATTGAAATTATGATAAAGATTTATACATATTACGGAATCATATTTTATTATTTTAGTGTGAATCAAGTTGCTCCTAAGGTTCGCAAAGTACTTCAGCTGTTTCGATTGAAACAGATTAATAATGGTGTATTTTTGAAGCTGAACAAGGCAACAATTAACATGCTTCGTATTGTTGAACCTTATGTCACGTGGGGATATCCAAATTTGAAATCAGTTAGAGAATTGATCTACAAGAGAGGATTTGCAAAAATAAATAGGCAGCGTATTCCTATTACCAGCAATTCAATCATTGAAAAGAAACTTGGTTAGTATCATTAAGTTCATTACTGTGAAAATGTTTTTCATTACATTTGACAAATCCATTGGAGTTGTATTTATTATTTTATCTGCTCCTTTCCAGCTTGTCAAAGAATAATAGGATTATTGAAAAACTTTTACGTATATTTTACGTTTAGGTTTGCGACGGTTCTTACATTTCATAATTATATTAAAGTTCTTTTTTTCAATGCTTATTATGATAATAATATGAAAACTGTATTGTTACAGGACGTTCTGGTATTATTTGTATAGAAGATTTAATCCACGAAATTTTCACAGTTGGGCCAAAATTCAAGTTTGCAAGCAATTTCTTATGGCCGTTCAAGGTATATAAATTTTTACCTCCTTCAATATCATCGACATAGGCATAGTTATAGAAATACTTATTATTCTATTAACCTCCTTCTATGTCGTAAAATAATATGAGTTTCTCTTTGTGGGACGCACGTAATTTTGCGTTCCTTAATCAAACTCAAACATTTTATTAGCTAATTGCTATTTTACGCTACTAATTTAATTTTTCTATTTCTAGCTCAACACGCCTAATGGTGGATGGCGTAAGAAGACTAACCACTATGTTGAAGGTGGTGATTTTGGTAACCGTGAAGACAAAATCAATGAACTTCTCAGGAGAATGGTTTAAATTTCTAAAAATCTTGATAAATAAAAATTTAAATAAAATATGTTTTATCGTGTTGTATTTTACCTATATGGTCCATTTTTTTTTTTTTTTTTTAACATATTTAGTAATACTGATATAAATAAAAATTTAAAATATTCTATTCGTAATTTACGAAAAATATAATTATCTGATAGTTTTGAGGTTATATAAAACTCTAACATGTTAATAAATATCTATACGAAATTATGTAAAACTACACGTTATAAATGTAACTATTATCTCTTCCTAAAATGAATAATGTACAAAAGAATTGTGTTTATGTGAATTATCAAGAATATTTATTTTAATGTAAAACATGCCAAAAGATAAACGCATGCGCTGATCAATTGTATTGAACACTATAGTACTTTTGTACATAACGCATTGCAATGAGTGGTGTGTCAAGGCAAAGTGTACTGGTTCGAATCTTGTTCCAGAGATTTTTGGATAAAATATTTTATTTTCCAATAGAATATTATTTTTAATGCAGGAAACATTTCTTTAATAAATTTTGGTAAGTATATTACAAAAAAATTGAAAAATTAATAAACGTTAAAATTAAGTAATAAATATTCTCACATGTACATTTTATATGCCTAACCTTATTTTATCATTAATAATTAGTAAATATTCATAACATTATAATTAATATTTGATACGAAACTAATAAATTTGTCTCATGTATTTCTCTTAAGGAAAAGATATTTTTTTGTGAATTTTTGGTCTAGATTATAGAAAGCATGTTTCGTTGCCGTACGTTCTATGTTCGAATCCTACTTACTTTAATTTTATGTTAATAAATCATAGGAATGTTTTTTATATTGTAAAATGTTCTAGAAAAATAATAAAAAATATATTGAATTTTAAATGTAAAGTTCTAGAATAATATAGAAAAAATTTATTGATTTAATATTCTCTTGATCTTATAACATATAATTTGAAATGATATATTTTTAATATTTACTTAGATTATATTAATAATGAACAAAAAGATTGTAGATTCTGACATTTCAACAAATATAAATTCATCTATTATTAAATTAAATTATTTATTATTTGATACAAAAAAATTTATTGTTCCTCATAATGTATTACAAAATATTTAATTTTATGGAAAAAAGTAAGTTAAGATCATTACTATAATTTAGGATGAAATAATTGTTAATTTCAATTCATGATTTTTAATGTTCTGTTGCAGATAGAAACATAGTATCAACTTTAAAATTTATAAAAGAAGAACATAAAGAACTTGAGATTCCTACTTCCATCAAAAATCCAAATTCACTTATTGTGATAAAATAAACTGCAGCTGTAAAAATTAGCAGAAATAATACAGCTAATGAAAGTTTAAAAATATAACAGAAGTGCCTAAAGTTAATACAAATAAAAAAAAGTTAGCATTGAACATAAATCACTCAAATCAAATGCAGAATCTTTATGATAATACAAAGAAAGAAAAAGGTAGCATAAAAGTAGGTAATATTTCAAAAAATCAGGAAAGATTGCAAAATATAAATTGTACTGCTAAAAATTTAAAACAAAATCAAACTACCTCAACTGATGTACCAAAGTCTCAAAAAACAGACATAAGATCTGAACAAAGTACTAGTAAAAAATACTTCAATAAAAGTATAGAAAAAAATAAAGGAGAATCTAAATATGCAATTGATGGAAATTTATTTAACAAATCTAAAAATATTCACAAGCAAACTAGGTTTGATGACTATATCACACCATATAAAAAAGGAATGCCAAACAAAAGAAGAATGAGTACTAATACAGAATCGAAAGAAGCAATAATTTGTAACATTCCTTTATCAGTTAAAACTGGAACAAATGATATTGGTAATGAAACAAAACACATATATCAAGAGCTTAAAAATAAAGATGATAAAAAAAATATGGATACACTTGAGTCATGCAATTCTACTTCTATCACATTAGCTGTAGCAAAAAATTCATTGCCTTTGAATGTCAGTAACATTTCTGAAAATCACTCTAATATTAAAAATAAAGATTCGCAACATTATAAAAATAAAATAAATAATGAAAACTTGAAATTGAAAAATTTAATAAATATGGAACTAAATGATGAGAGTGGTAATGAAGTACAAATGGACACAATAAATAGTTCTCTATTTGAATGTGAAATATCTTTAAAATTAAAAAACTCTGAAAATATAAATGTTACAAACGCTAATGAAGATAGAATTAGTTTTTCATATGTGGATCAAAAAAATTTAAACACAGATTTAATAAATCAAAGTGATAACAACCAAATTTTAATGAATATACCAGTAAAAAAGAAGAGAGGAAGACCTAGAAAAACTATGCATACAGTTCAAGAAACTTCAGATATTTCAAATAAGAAATTAGAAGAAAATTTAAGAACTTTACAAAAAATAAATGATATTTCTATCGGAGAAACAATTGTTCATAGTAAGAGACACAGTGAACAATCATATAATTTTAGCAATAATGATGGTATAAGTGATAATAATAGTACTGAAGATAACATTCCAAATTCAATTATTGTTAGAGAAAGAGATAGATCACCAGGTACATCTGCAGGCGAAGCTATAAGCAAGGAAAGAGGAAGAGGAAGAGGAAGAGGAAGAGGAAGAGGAAGAGGAAGAGGAAAAGGAAGAGAAGGAGGAAAAGAAAGAGAAGGAGGAGGAGGAAGAGGAAGAGGAAGAGGAAGAGGAAGAGGCAGGGGTAGGGGCAGGGGTAGAGGATCATCTTATTCTGCATTAGATACTGAATATATATCAAAATTAAAGGGACCAATAAATAAAGAAGAAATAAAAGTAGAAGACTCAAGTGAAAGTAATATTGTTGCTTATACATCAGAAGTAAGTTTTATATAAAATATTAGAGCTGTATATCATTCTTTTTAACATAAATTTATCTCTAATTATGTAAATATATATTTTTTATTTTAATTTTAGGTAAATTTAATAACTTGTGCCAAATGTGAAGAAAATATATTAAAAAATAAATGGGATTCGCACAATTTGATTAAACATAACAATATGAGTTGGAAGAAGGGCGATGAACCCATAGTAAATATAAGATTAATACAAATAAATTCGTAAATTTATTATCCTCTTTATTAACAAAATTTTTATTTATAGATTTTTGAAAAAAATATTAAATTGTGGAGAAAAGTATTGATGTCTGCTATTAAAAAGAAAAGGGGTCAATTATCTTGCGAAAAGTGCGGAACTGTAAAGCGAAGTGTGTGTGGTTTTATATCTCATATGCAATTCTGTGGAAAATCAGAAGAAGTATGTAATTCTTCAATTACTTCAAAAATTCTAAAAAATAATGTAATATAAATATATATGTAATAATAATTTTTACTAGGAAAAGCAAGCTTTGATGGTAAGTTGTCCTATCTGTAGTGCTGTTATAATGCCATCTTCTATGAAAATACATGAAAGAACTCATAGGCAACCAGAACGTAAAATAATCGAATTACAATTACATACTACTGATAATGAAAGAGTAAAACGTAAAGCTGCAGAAAAGTAAGAAATTAGAAATTAATAATAATTTAAATGAAATAAAAGATTCTAATATCGTATTGTAATTACAGAGCAGTTTCAAAAATTACTGAATTTACTGAACTTGTCAAAGATAGTAATCCACCTCCTGAGAAAAAAATGAAACTTGACTCTCATTTGATGGTATTACTTTTTTTTAACATCTTTTTATACAAAAAAAGTGTTATTAAATGAATAACTATAAAAAACTAATGTTACAGAAAAATTTAATCAAAATGCCTGATCATAAAAAACCTATACCGTCTGTATGGAAAGGTATATGGAAAAAAGAAGTGTCTTCAATGGGAACAATAAATTGTCGTCAAATAGGTTGTACTTATACATGTTCTTCTGTTGAAGATATGTGTAAACATTTTCCTAATTGTAATTTCACTCCTCAAGAGGTATACATTGCATAATATTAATTTTATTTTTATAACATATGCAGAAACTCAACATACTCAATTTTATTACAGTCTTATATGTGTAAAATGTGTAAATTTTCAACTACCTCTGATGAAGACATAAAAAAGCATATAATAGAAAAGCACGCAACAGTAGATGAAATCGATAGGTCATCAGATTTTGAAGAAGAACATTATAGTTCAGATGAAAGTAAGTATAAATTTTGTTGTAAAAAGTTAAATCGTTAAGGTTCATACATATTCTTGTTTTTAGAAATATCTTATACGATGAAATTTCTAGACAAAAAGCAATGTCATAAAATTAAATGGACAGAACCGTATTTATCTGGTGTGCAATGGTCTATGGAATTGTAAATATCTATATTTTTTAAAATTAAAGTATATACTTCTTGAATATCTTTAATTAATGATTTTTATCATCTTCTTTAACAGTGAAAAAAAGAATTACGAATTTTGTTTATTTAATGACTATTCTCCAAATCAATTCACTTTGTTAAACAATGATGATATTCTTAAATATTTGCCAGAACTAGAAATTTCCATGCGAACAAAAAAAGAAAGCGTATGTAAAACACTATCTAATACAGAAATTATATGGAAGCAGTGGAAACGATTTGAAGGTGGTTTAGATGAAGGTAGTTACTTTAGTAATTAATTGACTATGATTATTTCATAATGTTCAATATTTAAAATAACTTCTCAGATACTTCGACTTTTTTTACTGGTGGTCCAGTATGGGCATTAGCTTGGTTGCCTATTCCATCACCAATGTATTCTAAAGAACCTTACCAATATATCGCAATTAGTACTCATCCAACAATGAAAAGTGAATACACTGTAGGAAAATCACACTCGGAACATAATATGATACAAGTTTGGAATGTTGGACCTTTGAATCATGAGTTAGTAAGAAAGAGTAGAATATGATAGCATCAAATTTCTCCAAAATAATTTTTTTTTTTATTTAGGAATAGTAGTAAAATACAATCTCCTACTTTATCATATGTTATTGCACACAATAGTGGTACTATATGGTGTCTAGAATGGTGTCCTTCTGGATGCTATCAAGATGAAAGTCTGAATAATTATAAGGATAAAAACGAAATGTCTAATAATCTTAAGCGAATGGGTATGCTTGCGGCAGCTTGCTCAAACGGAAATGTAAATATTTATTCATTACCTTTTCCAGAAGAACTTAAATTTAAGAAGACCACAACCAATGAGTAAGTAACAAAATTCAGATTATACAATTTTTTAGGCGTATATCTTGTTATTATTAATATTTATCATTGTAGATGGCCTATATATTCTACTGATCCAATAATAACATTAGTTGTAAATATTTCAATGTATGATAACAAAAATCAAAATTGGCAATGCACCAAGATATCATGGACGAAGGAGCACGGCCATAAGTATATTTCAATATATTCTTAATTTTATAATAATTTAATTTTTTAGTTTCCTTATTTTATAATTAAAAAATTATATAATTTTTCTTATTTTCACAGTACAATCGCTGCTGGATTTTCAAATGGTTATATAGCTTTATGGGATTTAACATACAAATCTCCATTATCAATGCAAAAGAGACAAAACACATATTTTATAAATGCATTTCAGCATTTTTATGCTCATGGTAATGCTGTGAGTAGTAAGTACATAAATTTATTTATTCCTTGACAAAGTCATATTAAATAAAAAAACAATCTCAACAAATTTAACATTTTTGTAGTGCTAGTATTAATTCCGTATAATGGAGAAAGATTTTTAGCTTCTGGCAGTCTAGATAGGTCATACAAATTTTGGAATTTAGAAGACACGAGTACTCCTCAAACTGCAATGCAGAAATCTATTATAACAAATGGTGCATGGATGACACATTGGCCATGTGCTGTTATTACTTTTGATGATGCTTTAGGGTAAGAACTAATATTTAAAAAAATTCTTTCAATTCGTGCAATCTATTTTTTAACACTGTATTATTCTACTATAGGCACAAACATACTAATACTTATTTAATTCCATTAAGAGAACATGAATACAAATACTATCCTATTATGGGGACAAATTCTGCCACATATGTAAGTAACTTAAACAACATGTTTTGAGTATCTTTAAAACGACTTTCTTTATTTAAATCGTAGGCTATAGCTATTTCTGATTATGCAAATAGCATCGCGCACGGCACAGTAGCTGGAGAAATACAAACAATCTTTGCACATGATATTATACATGGTAGAGATATCGAAAGAGCTTTACAGAAGAAAAAAAAGGTACTTTTTATGTTTAACATGCTTAAATTATCGATAGTTTAAATCATTTCTTACAAAGTTAAATATGATTCTCCTAGTTGAGCTCATGTGTTAAAATAGTGGACTTCTTAGAAAAAGAAGAAGATGATAAAAATGATAAAATGCACAAAAAGAATTCTAAAGATTATTGTTACATGCCGGAAACTTATGATGAGTGCCAGAATAGATTTGGCATTATCTTTTGCGATAATTTAAAAGTAAGTAGTTTTACTGTACAGTTTTACGGTACTATTCCTTTCAGTAATTTTAAATTAATATTCTATATTCTATTATACTTAAGAACGTTGAATGTCATGAACAAAAACGACCACATGCAGAAAAAATATCAAGAGTTGCGATCGAAGAATATCCATTCATGTCCGTAAACAGAGTACGTATGTCGTAAATGTTTCTATTTATTTTTATACCAAAATTTTATATGATGCTGAAATTATGTAATAAATTCTAGATATCTTGGAATCCGAATCCATGGAGTTACTTATGGATGGTTGTTGGTTACCAAAACGGTTTGGTGAGATTATTAAACTTCAGATACATGTCTATGTCACGTGAATTATTATTGCCTCAACATGTAAAATCTATGCTTAATAAAGCAAAGATTACAACAAAAGAATGTTATTAACGGGAAAATAATCATGATCTATAATATCTATATTATACTAAAATCAAGTATTATGAAAGTCATGGTGATTGCTTGTTATTAATATGTAGTAAATTATTTTTCATAATTTTATACAAATATTAAACTGACTACGTAAAAATTGGACAAGGCCAATGATTGAACAAAATTTATTGTTATGTATTTAAATTTTATTAAATATATCTAGAATATTTAATGTTAATAAGTTTTGTACAAATAAGTTTTGTAATTTTGAATATTTAAAATATGACATGTTTAATTATGTTAATAAACAAGATTTTTTATTGTTAATACAAGCAACCCCAATTTGTATTATGCTTTTATATTAATAACGTAACATAACATAACGTAACAAAACAATGTAAATTTGTCTTATATTTATCACATTAGCCAAGAAAACGAAAAAAATATATATTAATGTTAATATATTAATAATGAAAAATATTTGAAAAACATGTAAAAATAATTTAAATAGTTTGTCACGTATCAAATTGCAGCAAAACTCGAGGAAACATCTTTTGTAATTGAAACATTCACTTGCCTCCATTGTTTCGACTATCGAATTATCGATTGTTGTAACTGATCTATCTATAAAGGTTTAAATGCTTTAAAATAATCTGGGAAATAGTGCAATAAAATATTGTATAAAATATTATATAATATATTTAAAATTTTCATTAAATGTTTGGTCGAATTTTGGAATAAGCGCTATTTCACGATACTGATCACATGATTTTGAGTAGCTAGTTGCGCGGGTATAATACATACGTATGCACATTAGTTGATAAAGAGGTGGGGGTTAAAGGACCACCATAGAACATAGTGGGGATCACATATTATCTATATATATATATACACACGCACGCACATACAATCAAATGACGGAAGCATCGTGGCCAAAGCTAAAAAGCAGTAGAAGGAAATGCTACATTTACTAGCGAATTGTCAAGCAGTAAATAATTCAACATTCTTCCTTTAATATTTGAAACAAAAGCAGTCTCGTTGCTCGGTTTATCTCGCTGGCGGAAGTTCATAATATCAAATAGATACAAATTCAATTTTATTCTAATGAAAAACATAATTTACTCGAAAATTTTTTTCGTTTCGTTTTAAATATTTTGTGGCAAGTAAGTGAGGAATATTTCTTTTCTTTTTGGCTTTTAAAAAGAAGTTAATGTAGAGACATATTTAATTCGTTCCAAGTGTTCATATTAAGAGCATGCGTATGGTAATCGTAAATTTCTATATTATATTAAATATTAAATTTCTATATTATACATAGAAGAAAGTTAGAATCATTATTATACGGTAAAATTATTTTAGAAATGGCTATCAATCCAATGAAGTGGAAAACCAGAAATGTACTGTACATTAGTTTGACACTTTTAGTTTTCTACGTACTTTTTGTGTATAAAAAAAAGCATTATATATTGTTCGAAGGAATAATAAAAGATTCAAATCCTATACATGTATGGGAATACGTAGCTGATTTTAGTAACATGAAGACGTTAAATCCGACAATGTATGTAAAACATTATACGTCGCTGTTTTTCTTTTTTTCTGTTCTTTTTTTGTCTCAAATTTTTATTGACATTTTTGCAGAGAAGATTTTAATATTATTGCGGAAAGTGGTAATTACGATCATTGGAAATATTCAGTTGAATATACTGAACATTTGAGTCATATACCAATTATACGAAATACAGCACATGGACATTACGCCATACGTGAAGACAATAATGGTTATTTGATTACTTCGAAACATGAAACATGTTTCTTTGCCCAACTTGGATGCTGTAAGTAAATGTATCGGGGGAAAAGAAAATTCCTTATGAAATAAGAAATCAGTATCAACGAAATACATAGACTTTTAAATGATTCTGATCTTAAATTTCACTTCAGTGGAATCGATCTCGCAATTCAGATTTGATCGAGATGGAGCAACAGATACAAAATGTATCGAAACCGTACAATATGAATGTCCAATCGCATTTTCATTGTTGTGCTATAAAGAAGTTATGTATCAACGAACAGAGATTATGGAACGATTGAAATTGAAATTCTCAAAAACTAAAATCCCTTAAAAAATGTTATTAAAATATGTATTCATGTTATTTCTTTTTAAATTTATCATGTATTTATAAAACGTTTTATACGAAAATATAATTTTTATATAAAACTTTTTGTATAATATTTTATATATAGCGCTATTTGTCTATATTTAATATGACCAACGTCAAAATGTAAAATCTCCTATAATAAAGTGACAAAAAAGAAGATAGAGGGGGAAATCAACAATTTATCGAAACATACACATGAGAGAATCTGTGAAAAGGATATAGAACTTGAGAAGTCTGTATTTTTATTTGTATTTATTGAAATATATATCACTCTTAGCATTTAGTCAATAAATTTATATTACAACGTGAAATATGTCTAATAAATTTGAAGCGTAAGTGAAACTAGCGTTTTTATTTCGTCGTGCCTTTTTTTAAGGAGTTAGGTAGAGGTTAGATTTGTTTTAAACGAAAATCAAAATTTATTTATATGTTGTTTTGTTCGATATTAAACACATCTGCTCTTTTTATCTATTGCGTTCATTATTAGTCTGTACGAAGCATTGTTTAACTGTCTAGTTTCAAATAACAAAACACGTGATATGTCTTGACATTTGTCACAACCTAAATCTTCGTATATTGAATTTTCGATTGTTACTTTTATTTCTTGTTTTTGGTACTTCAAACAATTACTAAATGATAATTAAATTCATTTTCTTGTATGCAAGCGTATAAAAACAATGTTCATATGTTATTATTTACAAGTAAGAAATAAATAAAGTTTATAACATATTGTTTTTTGAATAAAAGTTATATAAAAAATTATAAAAATGATTTACTAAGAATATTTGCTATTTCAAGAAACTCATGCTGTAAATTATAGTAGTACTTGCAGATTAAAGGCTAATGAAGATAATGCAGATGATGAAACACAATCAAAAGATAATAAAAAAACTGAGAAAGATTCATTAGTAAGTAAAAAGTATTATTTTTTTTAATTTTATTCACATATTCTAATTAAATAGTATATATTTATTATAGCCTTCCATAGAAATTAATCCAAATGAGCATAAATTACAATATGCATATGCATTATGGTACAGTCGACGCAATCCTGGTAAACAATCAAGTATACAAAGTTACGATCAAAATTTAAAATTGGTTGGTAGGTTTGCAAGTGTGGAGCAGTTTTGGAGTCTTTACAGTCATTTAGTCCGGCCATCAGAATTAACAACATCTACAGATTTTCATCTTTTCAAAGTTGGCATAAAACCAATGTGGGAAGTATGTGTATCAGTGCAAAATAATATTTATTTTTCATGAGTAGATTTGTTTTAATAAATCATCTTTTTTCAGGATGAGGCAAATCAGAAAGGTGGTAAATGGATAGTACGTTTAAGAAAAGGTTTAGTTTCCAGATGTTGGGAAAATCTTATATTAGCTATGTTAGGAGAACAATTTATGGTTGGAGAAGAGATATGTGGAGCTGTTGTATCTATAAGATTTCAGGTATGATTTAACTAAAAGTAGTGACCTATGTATTGCAAATTATTAGATATTGTTAATATTAACAGGAAGATATAATATGTGTATGGAATAAAACTGCATCTGATTATGCAACAACATCACGTATAAGAGATACATTAAGGAGGGTCTTACATCTTCCAGCAAGTGCCTCAATGGAATACAAAACTCATAATGAAAGTCTGAAGAATGTTCATCGACTCTAAATTTTGTGATACTGAGTCAAAGATTGGAATTCTTTGTGGACTTTCAGGTAAATTACAAATTTATTTTAAATTAGTTATTATAAAAAATATCTCTATAAAAGAAAATGTATACTTATAAAACAGTACTCCTTTTGTACTTCTATATTTAGCCAATTGATACTTGTGAGAAGATAATATTTATGTGGAAAATATTTTACAACTACAGAATTTAATTGGCCATTTTATTGGATAACGAATGTGATTCACAAGTATCCCATTGTAACTTATGTAAATAAATACATATTGATAATAAAAAATTATCTTATTTCCGAAATATGTGAAACTTTGATAATTATCTTTTTTACTATACAATTGGGTTATGTTATAGTTATAACAATAAATAATCGTTCTATATGTCAAATACTTTTATTTAAGAGTACTTAAAATTTGTAGTCCATTTTACATATGATATTATTTATACATTTTTACACGAGATCGTGTTTCTTTAGAATATATGCATAATTATTAATGTATTTTGTATACACAATGCTTTTATATACAAAGCATTAATTTTAATATAAATATTAATGTATTTTTATATTTTAACTTGAAATATATAAAAAGACTGTAATTTTGTTAAAATTTTAATATATGTACAAATCTTTTTTATGCATATATAAGGCAATGAAGCACAAACTTGAATAAGAATATATGCATCACACACATTAAAAGAGTAAAAGATTTTATATAATATGTTAATAAATATTTATGTTGGCCACAATATAGTGTGACAGTTTATTGTATACAGACTAGAGTTAGGTATATTCAGTGACAAAAAATGAGGCCAGTGTCAAAAAAACCTAACATTAATTGTGCTTTTATTTCACGATTTTAATCATGATATAAAGTTTGTTTTATATGTATAAAGACAAAAATTACAACCTTAAAGTAATAATTGTGACCATACCTGTAATAAATAACAAATTTTTGCTTATGTTTTTTATCCAATACATATAAATTATGAATACTTACCCAATACAAATGAAAATATTAATTTAAAATTTACAGACAAATGAAGATAATCAGGCACTCTATTATTCTGTTCTCCTTCTGTAGGCAAAAGCAATCCAATTATGCAAATTATCCCAGCAATTAATGCTATATAATTTGTCCCTCCTAAAAATTATTAGAATGCTTATTAAAATAATTTATTTTTTTATTTAAAATATATAATTTTTTATTTTAAAAGTATTTATTTTTGATACTTGTAGATTATCAAGACATGAATTTGCATTTTAAAAAATTATTCAATTGAAATAGATATGTTAAAAAAATGTTTATCACACATATTGGATTGAATGGCATTAAAAATATAAAGTATTATATATGATTTCAACCAAGTAACTAAACATTACATTAGTATTTTAATTCAAACTAATTTTAAATAAATACTAACTTATTAACCTTTATCCATAAAATATTTCATATCTGAAGATAAATACATTGTGTTCTTATTTTGAATGTTTCCACGAAATAAGTGTTTTGATTTTGGTGGTTTCAGTGTGTATTCTGTAATTGTAAATAATGATTTTGCCATTCAAACATGCAAAACACTGATATATGTTATTAATGTAGTTGTTATAAATGTTTTGGACTTACTGTCAATTGCTTTATTTTGAGCTATGAGAGCATAAGATTGTTGTTGTCTAGTTTCATTTATTGGAAGTTGTTGAAACATTTCAGGATCTGGTGTAGATCTTCCAACTGTTTCTGTTGTACCAGGAAGTAATTTAGCTTCAACATCTCTTTGTCCTATGGCCTATTAATTTTCAGAATATGAAATTCTATTATTTTGTTAATGGAATGAAATATTTACTTTTACATTAGATATAATACACATAAGTACCTGTTTAGTTGGATGTTCTTGCATTTGTATCCTAAATTTGTCAACAACATTGCAATTACTAAATACAAGAGATGTATGTCTGACAACAATATCAATACAATATCGTGCTTTTATTGTTCCTTCTGGCTCAACAACTTTATATTTATTTGGCGCAGTGCATAGTACTGTAATTATAATGAAATTTGGAAGTTTCTATAATAATAGTTTTTATAATAATAATAATAATAATAATAATAATAATAATAATAATAATAAT